CTGCAGCCTTGGGGCCTCCTGGTCACTGCCAGGTACAACAAGGCAAACATGCTGTCTCAGTGAGTAGGAGGGATGTTGTAGGAGAGCAGACCAGGGACAACTCCTGGGGGCCATGTGGGGAGGGTGGCTGTCTGTTTAGAGCTGGAGGGTCCCAGGGTACAGATGCGGGGGAGCTGGAGGTGTCCAGCTCCCAGGGCCTAGTGAGCTGCCATGGGGGAGGTCTCGCCTCGATCCTAAGAGGAAAAGAAGCCCCATGCAGGCTGGGGAGAGGCTGGGTAAGGTCCTTCATGTCAGCCCAGGGCCCCATGCCCAGCAAAGTTCCAGGAGCACCCCCCAAACAGCTTATGTTCTGATTCCTCATAGCTTATGGTAAGCTTCACAAAGCAGGAGCCCCCTCACTCAGCTGGCAGAAGCAAGGCTCCCTTACTCTCAGCTAGGCCACTAAGGCGGTAGGAGGGACCAATTCCAAGCCGGGTCTTGCACTCTTTTTTTTTTTTTTTGACACAGAGTCTCACTTTGTTGCCCTTGGTAGAGTGCTGTGGCTTCATAGCCCATAGCAATCTCAGACTCTTGGGCTCAAGGAATTCTCTTGCCTGAGACTTTCAAGTAGCTGGGATTACAGGTGCTAGCCACAACACCTGGCTATTTTTCGAGATGGGGGTCTCACTCTTCCTCAGACTGGTCTCGAACCTGTGAGCTCAGGCAGTCTACTGGCCTCAGCCTCCCAGAGTGCTGGGATTACATGGGTGAGCAAGCCACCACACTGGCTTTAGATCCTAGACTCTTGACTCCCAGTTATAACGCTGACTGCCCCAATGAGCATCAGAACCCCACTCCCACCCCATGCTTCCCAGGATCCCAGTCATGGGCTTGGTGTGGGCTGGGCCCGCATACCCAGCACCAACCCAAGCCAATTCTCTGTTCTGCTTAGGAAGAAAATGATCCTGGTCAGGGAGCTGAGCCTCAGGGAACACCTGTGGAGAGCCCAGGACCCTGTGGGACTGTCCCCCAGGTCTCCCAGCACCCAGGCACTGCTTGGGCCTGTCTCTACCCCCTCTTGTATGGAGACCCGTCTTAATCCTTGTCCCCCCACCCTCATGCCCATATGTGAATCTGGCTGCCCTACCTCCCAGGCCTGGGCCTACATCAGATTGCTGTCCCCTCACCCCCATGCCTGTGTGTGAACCTGGCTGCCCTGCCTCCCAGGCCTGGGCCTGCAGCAGACGTCCTTCAGGTCAGGCCTGCAGTGGCACTGCACAGAGCAGACAGGCACCTGGATAGGTGACTTGCATCCCAGAGCCCTGGGATAGTGACCGACTACGCTGTGTGCCAGCCCGCCCTGGACAACTCTGAAGAGCCCTGAGTCCCTTGAGGGTCCTGTGCACAGGGTGCACACAGCAGGCCTCGGCCAGATGGCCTGTAGGTCAAACTCCTTCATCCCAGGGCTCTGTGAACCCAGAACCTGGTCTCTGTGGTTTCTAGTGGAGGCCCAGCTGGGGCTATTTCCAAAATGACCCAGATTCTCCCTCAGCCCCATCCTTCTGAGAGCAGGAACCTGTGACCCTCGAGGGAGTGGAGACAGGTAGCAGCCCCTAGGGGCAGGGGTGTTCCAGGTCAGAGGGAGGGGTCCAGCCACGGCTTTGGGCCTCCTTTAGCCAGTCCCTGGGGTCTGGACTGGCTCTCACAGTGGACCCTGGACCAAGCAACGGCCAACGGGGCCCAGAAGCTGTCCCCATGATGGGTTTGTGATGTCTTCATGAAACCTTCTCCCTGCTGTGGGTACTCCCAGCACCTGGCTGGTCTGTCTTCCTCCCAGAGGCCTGAGCTGCAGACTGCCACTGGCTCCTCCCAGCTTCTCTACCTCACAGACAGGGACAGAGGTT